AATTAAAAGAAAGCATAAGATATATTCCAGGAATATGTCATGAATTTTACAAGACATTACATATTTCAATATAAATGATAAGATATCTTGTGTGATGGAACAACCAGTGCCTTCTATTAACATGCTTCAGGAACAATCATGACTGCTTATAATTTTTTTGTTTGTTTGTTTGTTTTAAAGGAAAAGGAAGAATGATCACATAGTAGTGCTCAAAAGTTCTATCTGTACCACCACATTATGTTTAAGCAGGTTTGTCCAGTACTTGTTTAGACGCTAGACCGTTGAGTTTATTAACCCCTTCCCCGGCAGAAACGTGTATACACGTTTTCACAAAATGTTCTTTTTCAGTCGTCGACGAGTATACTAAGAAAATATGGTAAAAAAATATGCTTTATAGGAAGACGAGTTACAAACTGTTTTCATAACCAGCATCAAAAATACTATATAGAACCAAAATAAAAAAATTAGTCTGAAAAAGAAACGTTTTTACCAAAAATTTGTTGGGGAAGGGGTTAAAGTGTTTGAGTATAGAGAAATGGGAAGTGGTGAGGCCTTGAAAAAGAGTGGCGCTAATTTGATAACATTAAAGAAAAAACAAAAACATAAGGCAGGATACTCTATGTGCAATGTGTTTCCCTGGAGACAAAGCAAACCGATTTGGCTTTTCCCATTTTAAGTTCAGAACACTCTTGCTTGTGGGAAAGGCACTTAGCCAGTAAGTATGACTTTTCTCATCTAAAGTAGGATAATGTGTTTCTCAGTGGGTTGCTATGAAATCAAATTAAGGCATTCTCAGGTGCTGTCTCCAAAGGCTTTAAAGAAACAAACTCCTTCCTCAGCCATCCCTCTCTCACTGTAGGTTTATGATTTAGGCAGAACTGTTTGGTTGCAGGTCACAGAAATTTAACTCAAACTAATGGACTCAAAAAGAGGAGCTACTTAACTTGTACAACCACACAGCTAGCATCAAAAATAACTGGAAATGTGGGCTCAAGCAGCATCAGAATTATCTCTACCATCTCTCTCTCTCTCTCTCCATCATCATCCCCCCACCCCCCACCCCTATCATCATCTACTTCATTCCCTCAAATCAATTTATTCCTGTGAATGAGATGACCAGGCAGAGGTGGAGGCTGCTTGGGATCTCACTGAGCAAGCTGCCTCTGGGCAGATGAAGTTGAGTGAATTTGGGGAGGAACTGAAACCAGGTTTCCACCTTTCCCCTGGTGTATGAGTTTCCTATTGCTGCCTTAACAAATGACCACAAACTTAGTGGCCGAAAACAACAAAAATGTATTACTGATAGCCTGTAGGTCAGAAGTCCAACTCCGCTCTCCCTGAGCGAAGGTCAAGGTATCACAGGGCTGCATTCCTTTCTGGAGTCTCCTTCCCTTTTCCAGATTTGAGACTGCTCACATCCCTAGCGCCTGACCCTCTTCCCACATCCTCAGTTAGCCGTGTCACATCTCCTTGACCCTTCATTGTCAGAACCTCTTTCTCTGACCACAGCCAGGAAAGGTTTTCTGCTTTTAAGAACCCATGATTAGATTGGCCCACCTGGATAACATAGGACAACCTCCCCACTGAAAAGTGTGTACCTTCCATTATATCTGCAAAGTCCCTTTGCCATGTAAAGTTCACAGGTGCCAAGAATTAGGGCATGGACATGCTACAGCGGCCAGATGTCTGCCTACCGTACCAGGTTAAGGCAATCAGTCGGGGGATGAATCACCCAAGCAAGTAAACCAGAGAATTTTCTCTCTCATTATGGAGCTATAATGATGTGAGTCACTGTCTTCAAGGATCATATTTCCTACCAAGTGGAATAACTTGTTTTGTAAAATAGACTCCTTATTCATCATAAAAAAATGTTCAGGGGTTTAAGTGGAGTGATACATTTAGTAGTACATAGCTAAGATGTGGCAGAGCTGGGATCAAAGGAGGCTATTTGTCCAGCTTTTAACCTCTATACATACTGCCTCATTTCTTCCTTCATTCCTTCATTTATTCAACACATAGTTATCAATGACCTATTAGGCATATGGGTCTCAGCCAGGGAGACCCATTTGCAAAGGAGGGGGGACTGTGCACAGGACAGTAACATGTCCTTCCTCCTTCGCCAGCAGTGACCTCGCTGAGGGCAGAAGTGATGTCCTATTTAGCTTATCCCCACTATTCAGTATGATGCTCGCTACCTAATACCACTCTAATAAACATGGGGTCGGGGTTCCTTTTATTTACTTGGAAAATCTGGAATAGCAAGGATTTAAGCAATGGGTACAATTGCAACTAAGATTTTCATTCAAACCAGCCAAAACATATTAGACTGGCCTGGCGTAGGACTCCTCATCAGAGGAGCTGCCATTGCCATGTTACTTTGCTAAGGAGCAGGCTGGCTTTGTTCTAACTTAAAATCCTTAATAAGAGAAAGTTCATTTTAAATTAAATTAGAAACGGAGAAAATTTTAATAGTTCTTGCAAAAGACCATTCAGATGATTTTTTACAGCATAAGTATTCAAATTAACTTTATGCCAACATTTTGATCATCAGTCTTAGCCAAGCTGCCATTATCCATGTCTTAATACCTCTTTGTCATATGCTGAAACCTGCCAGTGTTTTGCAATGATGATAAACAGCTTTAATCCATTAGCTCAAATATTGTCCGCGGGTGCAGGAAATGGTCTGCAGAGGGTGGAGTGGGTCAGGTGGTCAGAAGCCAGCAATTGAATCGGATGAGATACCAATAGCCCATTAGAGGGCAGTATAACAACACAGTTAAGAGTAGGAGAGTCTTGCCCTAATCGGTTTGGCTCAGTGGATAGAGCGTCAGCCTGCGGACTGAAAGGTCCCAAGGGCATGTACCTTGGTTGCGGGCACATCCCCAGTAGGGAGTGTGCAGGAGGCAGCTGATCGATGTTTCTCTCTCATCGATGTTTCTAACTCCATTCTTCTCCCTTCTTCTCTGTAAAAAAATCAATAAAATATATTTAGAAAAAAAAAAAGAGTAGGAGAGTCTTCATAGAGAGTGAACTGGTGGTTGTCATAGGGGAGGGTGTTCAGGGGACTGGGTGAAAGAGCTGAAAGGAATAAGAAGTATAAATTGGCCCTGGCCGGTGTGGCTCTGTTGGCTGGGTGTGTCGTCCTGTGCAATGAAGGATTTGCAGGCTCAATTCCTGGTCAGGGCACCTGCCTGGGTTTTGGGCTCAATCCCCCCAGTAGGAGGCAGCGATCCATGTTTCACTCTCATATCGATGTTTCTCCATCTCCCTTCCTCTCTCTTTAAAAAATCCATAAAAGCCCAGCCGGCATGGCCCAGTGGTTGAGCGTCGACCTATGAACCAGGAGGTCATGGTTCGATTCCTGGTCAGGGCACATGCCTGGGTTGTGGGCTCCATCCCCAGGAGGCAATCAATCGATGATTTTCTCATCATTGATATTTCTATCTCTCCCTCTCTGAAA